AATATTATAAATATTAAATATTAAAATATATTAAAATATATTAAAAAAAACGGTATTGAAAATTAATTTTCATGTGCAAACTTCGGTTCAGTCTATGCAGTACATCTTTAATTAAATAAAAAATATCAAGTTGATATCTTTAGCCGTTCTTGAGCAATCGTGGCAAAACGAACAGAAAATGCTGTTTTGAAAAATAAACGACCGACTGTTCTCGTCTCCTTTGTTGTTACACTTATATTTGTTATCAGTGACTTTCACACGCCTATAGTCTTTGTTTCCGATATTATTATTTCTAAGTTTTCGAACTGTTATTACTATTTATCAGTTTGTTTTAAATAATAGTATCTACATTTCTTACATTACATGATCGCGCGCGCTTCGCCGGCCGCGCGCCGCCTCACATTTTTCGCTCTCCTGAATTCAATTTTACAAATATCGAGGTTCTTTTTGTGCCAAAATGTTTTTAAAGAATTGTACTAAACGATTATGTAAAAACTCAAAAATCGATTTTTTGAAGATTTCAAACCGTTCTAGTCCCTTTAACCTTTAGGCTGCCGGGAAAGCCACTTTTGTGGCTCTGCATAAATCTCAAAATTCCGCGCCATGTGTATGTTACTTATATGGAACAATTTTTTAGAAAAAAAACCACTTTTTTAATGAAAAAATGCCGGCAACCTCAAGGTTAAAACAATAAAACAAATTGAACAATAGAGGTTAGATCACACTAGAAGAAACATATATCGTATAACGCTAAACAGGTAAAATCTCATTTAGAGGTTCGCCAGTCAAAACAATCTAAATAGAAAAACTCGAATAAGATTTAAGTTTTATCTTGTTTCACAAAGGCCAAAATTTTAGGCTTCTTTATTAGCTATGTTTGGCTTAGTAGTTTAATCGTTTTTTTCAAAGATGATTAGATGTTCGAGAACTTACTCGCTATTGATGGTGGTAATAGCATAGACGTGGAAAATATAGGAGAAATTTAAATTGTCACTATTTGTCCACCTCTCCCTTACTACATGTATTTTTCTCTCGCACTCTCCAAATTAAAACGAACGATAATCGCGTGCAACTGTTGATTTCTAACAAGCACACTCTTCCTTACGTCTTATTCGTCTTTTATAACATTAGTTTTATGACTCGACGCGAGCAAGATCGCGCGTCGTTTTACGCTAATGAATATTCGACTGGCAACGGAGAGGGAAAGTCCCGTGCGTGAAAAGGCGAGTCGAAAAGAGGAAGAGACGTGTAATTTACGAACGAAGCGACGACGAGGGTCTCGCGTTCGTCCTTCGACGAGGGTTGCTTGTCGTAGGAGGTCGAGGTAGGAATCGCTCGAAGCCGTTGTCAAGGTGGAAGTTACAAATTGCCCGTCGTGAGTGATTTCAGGAGGGATGTGTGCGACGACGGTCACGCTCATTGGAGCGCGATATGTCCCTTCGTCACTTGGATCGTCGAGCAAACCACATTTGCCGTAATATCGGGTTTACGCTTCCTATCGCCGCGTAGACGACTCATCAGTAACTGTATCACGTCGAACCCGTGGCGTCTCTCGCGACTGTAATCTCCTATATCCACTGTGCCAAAGTCCCGCTCGAATGTAATCCTTCATGCGCGCGGCGAAAAGTTATTTAATTTTTCCAGCAGCAAACGCGAATTCGTACACGAAACTTCATCGATGCTCTCCCAATTCCATAACATTTTCAGTTTTCGACAATTCCTCAAATAATCTACAGTCGTGATGTGTGAATATTTATGCTAAAATGTGCGTGATCAAGAATTTTAAATGTTACATGCTAGGGAATGAGACAATTAATGGAGTTTTGCGCATCAGAACAGACGCTTATAATTGGATAATATTAATAATATAAATATATGTAATATTAATATTAATATATATTTATATGTACATTTATATAATTTATATTATACTGAGAAAGAGAGCACATACACAATCTGTGTATGCTTGTATTACATCACATTTTATATTAAATAGTTTATATTAAATAAATAGTTTTCACACATTATATTATGTATTATTTATATTATTGTAATACATATGCTATTATCAAGACTGCAAATGATAATTTCTGAATATATATATTTTTTTTTATTTCGGCGTACTTTGTAGAAATTTTGAGCATGCATTTCCTCATCTCCGACGTCATCAATTTCAAGAATTTCACGGCCAGTAATCAGGAGACTTAACATTACTTAATCTAGAGTTTTCTTTCTGGCAAAACGCGTCCAGTTTCCTCGTAAAAACAAAATAAAAAAAATGTCTAAAAGTTCATAGATAATATTTTCAAACTTCAGGAAATTTCGAAATTCGTTATCATTGTTAAAAAAAAATTGTTTCGAAGGATTCTGTATGTTTTTCCTTCATTCTTCTTCTATTGGTTCCGCGTGGCACGTCTTTTTCCAGAAAAAATCCTTGCTTGTTCCTGACCTCGATACCGTGTCATCCTTAAGAAAAACGAGGGTAGAGAGAAAGAGAGGAAGAAAAGGCGCGTCACGTGGTGGAAGGCGCGCCCATAACCAGGAAATTCGATGTCGTATCCTAATTGGCGTTTACGGTACACGAGGGTGCCATGCGTCAGCCGGTATTATTACGTTGCCTATATAATGAGTTACCGGAGATCTCGGGCCTCATTATAGACGACGCAAACGCGGTCTTAAGCCTCATGTCATGAGACGCCATTGCTATGCCCGAAACCGTGGATCCCTGGTTCTGTCGCGCGAAAGGATTTAGAATAGAGATTACGGACCGTTAAACGACACAAGTAGCGTTGCCGTATTAACACAGCCATTAGCCGCCGCCATTAATTTACGTGGAATCTTATTTTAGCGCTAAATTATAACGAATACGAGAATAAATGTACGCTCGTGATTTTCAATTCAACATCTCGGCAGAGTTTCAAACGAGTGAACACACTTTTATGTGGGCAAAATTAATCGCAAACAGAAATAAATACGTCGAAAGATACACATTTGAATGCCTGACGATTGACACGGTAAATTAATCAACGTTTAATTCTAATTAATCAACACATCGAGAAAATGAGTGAGGCTCGAACCAATTTAGCCGAGACTCGAACCGTGGTTTGAGTCACAGCTAAATTAGTTGGAGACTCGCTCATATTTTTTCGACTCAATTTAATCAAAGCTTGCGGCTATCAAACTAAAAATTTAATTGCATATGTTTCTTATCCGATATATTTTTATTTTCTGTTTACGATTAATTTTATTCAGAGATATGTTTTGTAACGTACATATGTTGACGCCGAATGCTTGCGCGCATGATAAAGTAATTTAAAAAATATAGATTGGAAAAAGAAATGAAAGTAGCATTTTTAGGATGTTGTTCGAGATCGAAAACTCTTCTCACAGAAAACTCGATCGTGTTTCTTTTCCTCGCGACTCGACGTGTACGCGTCGAGACACGGGATTGTCGTGGACAAAAGCGCATATGTCGGCCGCGAGCTCTCTCTACTTGAGAAAATGCGATCCTCCTTAATGCCGCCCGCCAAACTTCTCCGAGGGAATATCCGAATTAACTGTACCCGACGGAAATGATCGTGGGTATCGACGAGGATACGCGAGACTTCTCGACCGTCTACAAGACAGATCACCGCGTAAAATAAGGCCGAGAGGTAAACCAGATACAAGCCGTTACCGCGTTATCCGTTAGGCTAGACTTTGAGTAAACCATACAAACAATATTTGAACACGCAACGGGAAAATGATTCACTGTCTGAGAATGAACGAAGCGAGGATCCGCTAGAGATCTACCTGAATGAAATAAAATATGTAGAACATTATCTTGGGAAGACGTGTATTATCATTTACTATCTATCTCGATCTTTTTTCCTTTTGTTTGCTTTGTGTCTTCCGCTTTTATCCTCTGCAAAGTAAAGATACCGATATTCCAAAAGGAAATATATCTGATCCTGGACATTGTCTTGGTCTTTAAATACGAGTATTTAAACTATCAACGTAAAAAATCAACGTAAAAAATATATATGCAGAAAAGAATTAGTATTCACTTAGAAAACAAATATAAAATTATATAAAATTTATTGATGCAAGTAACTTATCTTCGTTTAACGTTATGTAATCTTATTTTAACATTTACATGTCAAAAAAACTTTAAAACAAAAATGTTCTATTGTGTATTCTGTGTACATGTATTAAATATGTATATTCTATGTTGAAAGTTTAGATATTCGTATTTGAAGCCCAAATCAATTAGGCCAAAAGATTAGGTACGCGTCCGCGAATTGGTACTTTTATCTTACTACTTTCGACTGACTCTTCTCTTCTTAAGGCACACACACACGTGCAATGTAATCGAATATCCTTGAAATTACAGTTACGCGACAAGTTCTCTCGTTTGAGAAACGCTCTACTCTGTCGTGCCAGATGAAAATTTAATAGAACGCGAAGCGGAGAAATCGAGACAGAGCACGTATCAGCTAGATTATTCGAAAGAATCTTGTAAGAACGTCCCCATGAATAATTAAGAATTCTCGCTACAATTGTCCGCGGCAACTTGTATCGCTACTAAAAAACCTATCGATTTATTCTCTCTATCCGATTAAATCGCACGGTGAGATCCAATTCTGTTTAGGCTTCCACTTTCCGGTGATCCCAGATAATTGATATATCATAGATATATAAATATAATAATATATCATATATAAATATTTGCACATACACAGCCGCGACTGTACCTTGGCAGAGGTAAAACGTTATCACTCGATTGGATTACAGTCGAGACGATTAATAAACGAGTATACCGAGACCCACAGATGATTGCGACGAAGAGTTTGGACAAAAGCATCGAAAATCTTTCGATCACGCAACAATATTTAGACCCTAATCTTAAAGAACGAGTCATTCTTTACGTCACGTATATAAAACTTATCATAATAACCGTGTCAACTCTTTCGATTAATATCTCATTACCTGCTCAACTTAGAATATCTTCTTTCTCATAGTAACAGAAATTCTGAGAACATCGACACAATCGGAACTATGAACAGAGAATTGTGGTACAAAGTCTCTCGGATGCGAATTAAATTGCAAAGGCTATCAAAGGATTCTGAAATGGGTGAGTCGGATTGCAATCAGATACTGAAACGAAATTTCATTTTATCATCGAAAGTATTCTCTTAAGCTTTCCCGATTTTATATCACTTAATTGTTAGGTCAAAAACATGGGATTCGCGCATGCAAGGATATGTCGGGATGGCGTACGAGTACGAAAATGGTAAAATAAAATGTTTAATACACGCAAATTAGTATAAAACAGAATTTATGTTCTTCCATGCGCACAGAATTCAATTTCGTCTCACTTTTTCGTTACTTGCTTAAATTATTTGTTTAAATCGTTTAACCACGACTGTACAAATCTCTCGTATTCACATCACACGCCTGTACCTGCCGAAAAACAGACGTTTTATATCTGTGCTTACTTTCGCATAATTATTTACATATCTAATATATCTAATATAGGATGTGGACACACGTTACACTCATTCTCACTCGCTTTAGAAAATACGTGCTAGCAAATATAAATACTTCAAATTTGATACGTAGGTACCTAGGGAACTTTTAAATGTTTAAAAAAAAAGAAAGAACTTTCTATTTTTCGGAATAACTTCTTAGAGACTACACTTAGAGAGAAAGATTTGGTTGAATCAAATAAACGCTTCTTTGGAATAGTCCAAACGAATTTTTTGATTGATTGAACAAAATTTTGTTTGAAGCAACAAAAATATTTATTTGCGGCTTAGTTCCAAAGAAATATTTTTGTTGTGTCAACCAAATAATTTGTTTGGACTATTCCAAACATTTATTTGATTCAATAAATCGTTCTCTCTGTGTAGTGAATAGAAATTCGCTGGAAGCGAATAATTTTGCCTTGACTTGTCCATGACAAAGTAAAAAAAAGTGTATTGACTCGTAGAGACTTATTCCTTGTGTCTTGCTGTTTGCGTTTCTTTACCTGTGCTAAAGTCTAGCAAAGTTAAATTAAAAGTTTCTTTGATTCTTCTTAAGTACCTACGTATGTGTACAAATTTGCTTATTAAATTGTTTATATCCATTAAATATTTTAAGACACACAAGATTATGAAATAACGCAAGAGCTTTTGCACTATAAAACACTGTACTGTCTTTTACAGATTATATGGAATACACCTGGGAATTGCTTATTAGCCATATATTATCAACATCTTCAATTGCGAGAAATCACACATATATGTTGCTGCGCAAACATCCGTTTTGTACCTTAACAGTTTAATTATATTGCATATAAAGAGATAGGCTCGATCAAACGACATTGTATAGTTGAAAATAAAAAGATATAGATACTTTCTTCAACGAATTTTGCAATATAATCGCGATAGTATTTTAAAAAAAACCAAAAATTGTCAAACATAAATTTTTCTATTAAGTATCGCATATATTAAACAAAAATCGTTATTTTTGATGACAGTAAAAAACGCTTTTTATTGTCATTAAAAAATTTTATGACTAATTAATAATATTTTTTTAATCTTTTTAGATCGAATTAGTCGCGCACGTTAATTATTAATAATTAATAAATCTATGAAAAGACTGAAACGGACATAAAGAGCTAAGTTACGGTTGTTAGGAGTTTAATAAAAATTAATAAATACAAAATTGAAAAAAAATGTCACTATTAAGCTACCTAGTCAATGTTTGAAAGCTCTCTAATATTAATTACACAATATGCCTACCAAGTAGATCCGAAACGACAAGAGCATATTGTTCCTAACTATTTCTAGAATGGCACTGTTTGTGTAGCCTTGGGTCAGTGATTTAAATTATGTCCTAATATATAAAGCAATACAATTACAGCAGAACGGAATTTAATAAACAGAAATATACATGTGCCGAATTATATATTTCGGCATATGTATATTTCTGTTTATTAAATTCCGTTCTGCTGTAATTGTATTGCTTTGTATATTAGGACATAATTTAAATGACTGACCCAAGACTACACAAACAGTGCCATTCTAGAAATAGTTAGGAACAATATGCTCTTGTCGTTTCGGATTTACTTGGTAGATCTGATCTACTTGGTAGGCATATTGTGTAAGTAATTAATATTAGAGAGCTTTCAAAAATTGACTAGCTATTAAGCTACCTAGTCAATTTTGAAAGCTCTCTAATATTAATTACTTACACAATATGCCTACCAAGTAGATCCGAAACGACAAAAGCATATTGTTCCTAACTATTTCTAGAATGGCAGTGTTTCTGTAGCCTTGGGTCAGTGATTTAAATTATGTCCTAATATACAAAGCAATACAATTACAGCAGAACGGAATTTAATAAACAAAAATATACATGTGCCGAATTATATATATCACTGACCCAAGACTACACAAACAGTGCCATTCTAGAAATAGTTAGGAACAATATGCTCTTGTCGTTTCGGAT